GACCGATGTTTTGATAGTATATGATGGTAGATTGACGTCATAAAGATGGACCTGTTGCCCTATTTGAACCGGCCGCCGGGGCTTTGCTGATATCAACAGTGGCCCGTGGTAGTCGACAGATCGGCGACGGAAGCGGATAGGAAGTGGTGACATCAGAAATGGTGGCGGAGCAAAGAAGATGAGGAGGAGGAGGGTGGAGGTGACAAGGAGGTGAACTAAAATGGGGATCCAGAAACGACTGTCGGGTGAGAATAAAAACGAGAGTAAGGGACCCATGGTGGGGCTAGGCAAAGGAAGGGAAGTGAAGGAAACAACAAAAACGAGGGCGCAATGCAATGTGTAGCCAGTGGCGATGCAAAAATTTGCCGAAATGCCGAAATGCGGAAAGTACCGAATGGAAAAGCAAAGGTGAGCGTGACTGGATTGCCTAATAGAGGTGGTGCTGATCAGCCACAAGTTTGGAAAAGGCAATATTAATTACTATTCCACGTGGCACTGTGCCTGTGTGGCGCAAAGGCGAGTCTTTTTGAATATTTGCTTCGTTATTGACACCTGTCCATGCTACCAATCAACTTTGGTGCATGACATCCACGGACAACTTGAAATTGCAACTGTCCCCAGTTGCTTCCATAAAGGTAGGGTCATAGGGAATGAAACATGGCAACACATTAAAGGGTCATATCAGCATAAAATTCATTCAGATAAGTCATTAATCGTTATCTTCATCATCTGAGTCGTTATGCTCATAGTCAGGTTCATCTTCTGGTTCATCTAGGTTGTTATCATGGTCATCCAGTTCGTCCAAGAGGGGCATAGAGTGACGGTTGAAATAGGGAAGTAGGCAAAATGCTGCAATTCCTCTTCGTGATACTGATCCATCCATTTCTTTTAGAACATATGATCCTCCTTTAGTACATCACACAACTTCATAAGGGCCATTGTAACGAGGCTTTGCTTTACGAGCCAGCTCTTTCTCAACTTGAGTATTCCGCACTAGAACAAGCTCTCCAGGCTGGTATTCGTTCTTGAACATCCTTCGTGCATAGAGTTTCTCAAACTGCGCTTTAGATCTGAGACAAGTTTTGCGTATAGTGAGTGCAGCTTGTTGCAAATCATCCTGTCTCTTTTCTAGTTGACGAATGCGCAGAGCAATGAGGTCTTCTGTTGACATTGCAGTATGGAATCCATGAACAAGGAAAGTTGCTTCTGTCAGATCAAATGGTAGGACTGGGTTAACTCTGTGCAACGGATAAAAAGGGCTGAATCCAGTAGAACAACAAGTAGCGACCTTGTCTGCAAAGAAGGCATGATGGACCTTGGTTGGCCATAAATCGACATTCCCTTCACAGGACTTGACAAGTGCTTCTCTTATGACGAAGTGTCCATGCTCAACAACACCATTTGCCTTGGAATTGTAGGGAGAAATGTGAATATGAGGGATCTGGTAATGTTCCACAAGCTCTTCAAATGCTCCTTTGACTTCGCTTCTATTATCTGTGACAACTTCTCCTATAGCTCCATAGCGACAGATGATTTCTTCCCAGAAAAAGTGAGCAAGATTATGTGCAGATGCTTTCTTCAATGCTCTTCCTTCTGCAGCAAGTGACAGATCATCTCTTGCAGCAACAAGATATCGATATCCTCTGGCCTTGGGCATGAGCATAATGTCGACATAGACTTTGGTGAAGATTGTAGAAGGTGATGAGATGGTAAGTGGGACTTCACTTTTGCGTACACTTCAAATCTGGCATTTATGGCAGGTGCAAATATGATGCTTGACATCCTGTAACATATGGGGCCAGTAAAAGCGCTCTCTGACTATAGAGAATACACCATTGACTCCTCTGTGACCAAGCCTTTCATGTGCTTTAGTAAGGATGTGAAGTCGAAGGTCAGGATTGAAGATGACTTTGAGAGGAGGAGCAGAGTGACAATGCTTGAACATGCTGTCTCTTTTCAAGAAGAATTGAAGTGATCGCTTGGCAAAACACTTTTAAGCTTGAAGAGAGGAAAATATAGGCAGCTCCATAGTTTGAAGAAAGTGGAAGATTCGACAAAGAGTATTGTACTGAGAAGAATCACTGGTAAGGAACGAAGGGAGTGACATAGGGTGATATGGGAGAGGTCTGGCAGGATCAACAAGAAGAGCGATATCATCAAGCCAATCATCTGATTCTTGAGCATCTTCAAAGTCTTCCTCTGTTGGTTGACCATGAGATAATGCATCAGGACCACGATGACAATCAGCAGGTATGTGAATGAGCTTGAAATCAAAGAGAAGGATGCCCTGAATCCAACGATTGATAGCGGCATTAGGCTGAAGATCTGGATCATTGAGCATGCCTTTGATATACTTGGCATCCACCTCTACATGCAAGTGTTTTACTCCTGCAATGTAAAGGTGAAAATGACGAAGTGCTCTGAACAAACCATATAATTCTAGCTTGGGTTGACTGTAATTGTTAGAATATACTCTGACATACCAATACTCCATAGGACAATACCTCTGATTTGTAAGCCAGCCCAGTATGCAGCAGCTATTTTGTGTAAGACGTCCGTGGTTGCATGTCATGTTTAAGATCCTACATTGTATAACCTTGGCCATATAGCTCAATTGGTAGAGCAGCTGGCATGTACCCAGAAGGTTCCAGGTTCAATCCCTGGTCTGGTCAATATCCAATTTTAACAGGTTATGAGCCCTGTGCTCTAGCCATTTTCCTGACTTCATACCTCATCATCCAAGCACCCTACTACTTATCCCTCTTGCAAATTATCTTCTGGGTCTCTGATAACCCTCTTTATCATCTCTGTTTGCTTTGATTCCATCTGGATCACTCCCTATAAGCCTTTATTGCTTGGAACCTCATTTTGGATGCTTTTTTGGCCTTATCAGTGCCATATCTCACCTAATCCTTATCTGATCGTCCCCAAACTCCTACCATTGTCTTCTACAACCTTGAAAACCCTAGGAGACTCCTCATAGTGGTGGATTTTGAGTTTGATCTCCCTGTGAGCCCCTATCATTATCTGATCACCACTTCCACACCTATTATACTCCTCCACTCCCTGTGCTTCGTTTCTGGCCATACTTGGCCTATCTATTGCACCATATAATCGCTCTCCACACCTATATTTTGGGGGCAATCCATCCACTCCATCTGTCCCTGTGACAATTTCAATTTTTTTGGCCTATATTTTCGCTTTTTGGCATATCTGGTGCTTGCATAAAGCTCCAATCTTCTCTGCTCTGTCCATTATCAGATAGAACAAGCCTATAGACTGTGAAGCTTGCCTGCATTGCCTCAAAAAAGGCAATATTAATTACTATTCCACATGGCACTGTGCCTGTGTGGCGCAAAGGCGAGTCTTTTTGAATATTTGCTTCGTTATTGACACCTGTCCTTGCTACCAATCAACTTTGGTGCATGACAGCACGTGAATTTGTGCCACTTGTAGTTGTTGGTGTCTACCTGCCGCCCACACTTATTGTGTGTAAGCTGCACAATCACTACACCCTCCCTTGAGCCTAGTGTAGACCAACGTATGATGAAAATTTGTCCAACTTGGTGCGTGAGAAGCATATCAGTGGGCATATCTTCTGTAGGGCAACATCTGATATCAATATCTCCATTTTGTACAGTTTCTCTGATGTGATGATATCTGATGTCAATGTGCTTGGTTTGCGCATGGTAGGTGTTCAATTTTGTTAAGGTGAGTGCACCTTGGTTGTCAGTGGCTATGATGGTGGGTTTTACAGGAAAGTTGGGGTCAATATCGACTAGCAATAATTGGAGCCATAGTGCTTCTTTCGACGTGGAGGTGGGTGCAATATATTCGGCTTTAGTGCTTGATAGGGCAATGATTGGCTGTTTCTTGGCATTCCAGGATATTGGCCCACCGTTGAAGGTGAATATGTATCTGGATATCGAGTGACGGTGGGGTTGTGAGGCCCAATTGCTATCTGAGTAACCCATCAATCCTTCATTAGTCCCTCCCAAGGTCAGTTTTCTCGTTTTGGTCCCTTTTAGGTATCTCATCGTTTGTTTTAGAGACTCCCAGTGTACAGGTGCTGGGTTGTTTGAGAGTTGCGAGAGGATAGAGATGGAGAATGTGATGTTGGGTCGTGTACCTAGTGATAGGTACATTAGTTTCCCTATTGCTTCGTGGTAAGGTATGTGTTCCATTCTTTTCTCATCCTCGGGTGTATTTGGTACTTGGTGTTAGTTTTGGTGATTCTGCACCTTTGTGCTACCTACATATTTTCATTTCTTTCTCTATCTATTCCTCTACCATTCAGTATTGATTGTGTTCTCTATTATGTGTCTTTCTGTCCCTTGTTATTTCAAAGCCTAATAGCCACTTTATTTCCCCCATATCACTGATTTTGTATTGTTTTTGTAGGTCTTGTTTGAAATCATCGATTGTAGCCTTTGCTTTGGCTGTTACTGACATATCATTGACCGACACTGCAACTATCATGTCAGCTTGACCATCTTGCCTGATGCATATTGCATGATCATATTCTGATCAGCAAAACCCTAGGTGAATAAATGTTTTAGACCATATATGTTTTTGCACAGTTGGACAATCTTCCCACTGATCTTGTCATCCATTATTTAGTTGGGTAGTTGCATATAAACATGTTCATCAAGAGAGGCATTCAGGGATGCATTCTTTATATCAATTTGCTCGATTTCCCAGTCTTTTGAGACTGCGTGCACGAGGACCATCCTGTGAGAGCTTAATCTGGCAACTGCAAAATATGTCTCAAGGTAATCCACTCCATATTTTTGTCTATTTCTGTCCGCAATGAGCCTGACCTTATATTTTAGTATTTCTCCCCTTTCGTCTCGCTTTATTTTCGTGACGAAATGACTTCCGATAATGTTTGACCCTGGTGGAGGGTCAGTTACATCCCAGGTATGTAGTTTGTTTAGTTGACTTAGTTTCTCATTAATCGCCTTTGTCCAGTGATTCTTTTTGGGGCCTTGAAGTGCCCGTCAGATATGAGGACTATCACAGTTGGCAGCTCCGGTTGCATAGGCCATTAAGTAATCATTGTGTTCGATAGGCACATCAGATTCTTCTGATATGTGTGCTGATTTGGCAGTAAGTTTCCCATTGTTCAATAATTTATAAAAGCCTTGCGGTTTAAGTGCAGCAGTATGTGTGGACCTTTCCCTCATATTGTTCTTTTCCTTTTGGTTGTCCGCCTCTTTGTCAGTTAACTCTTCTCTCTCCATTACCCCCTCTATCTTGCTGATAGACTGTTTTTTAGGAGAAGTATTGTGCATATTTGAGGGTAGGGTAGGTTTGGTGGCAGTCAGTGGGATTTTGTCGGCATTATGTTCGGGTATGGTAGTCGTGTATTTGGCTTTCTTGGCTCTGACATCGAGTTTACCAGCTGAATTGTTTTTTACAAAGACGTTGCATCCAAATTTGTGCAAGTCTGATAGGTCTGGCTCCCTCATCCTAGCTTTGATAGTTCCCAAATGCCAAACCACAAGCAGCGTGCAAACAATCCAGCTTAATGGCACCAGTGACAATTCATGCAGTATTGGAACAAATTGGTGGTGACGGAAAACAGGTTTGTTTGTTCCCTTTCTAACCTAAAATTGTTCTGATTTTATTCCAGCTTTATACAGAGAGGTCAGATGAAAGGTACACATATTGATTTACTATCTACATTTTTTTTACTGACTATACATCTAGAAACTAGCAGCTTCCATGATGGATTAAAGAGATTCCTGGTGTCACATTTTTAGGTATTACTTTTGAGTTTTTTTGCAGTACTTTGTAGCTCTGAGAGCATTTCACATTTTCTAGTGATACCTATATATTTTTATAGCTTACAGACAATTCAATATTTTTGGTGTTTTTTCAACGTTATTTTGAGTGATTGAAGATCCAATCAGAATTTTGCAGATAACAACAAATATCTGGATGTTCCAAATTTGTGATTCTTGCTGCATGCGGTATGAGCGTGGGTAGAAAGTAGTCTATGTAGTAAGCGAAGAAATAATTTGGCACTGGGGGGATTGGAACGAGCGGGTGGTGGCAGGGTGGTTTCGCCCTTGCAAAAGGGCTCATCAGGGGGCTTAACCACTACCCCAACCACCTGACATGAGTGTAACCAACTACCCTCTTTTGATACAATTGTCTACCGGAGTCCGGACTCAATGCTATGACCGATATACCAAGGGCACACTATCTCTTTGGGTTCTGGCTGTGTATCCTACAACCAGTCAGCCAAGAATGGGGCTCTCTTCCACGCCAGGACTTTCTTTGTTGGGCACTCTGTACATAGTTCTATCATATGACAGATGCACATGACTAGGATCCCTTTGGTGCTGTGGGACAGTAGCTCTTCTCCTAAGATAGGAGTGACATCCCTATTTCTGTTGCTGACAAAATCATAGATCCAAATTTTCTCTCTTGTTTTAAATGTGGTTTGTCCAATCTCTACAAGACAAATCTTAAAATACCTGGAGATTTGGCTTACTCAAATGTTTCTGATCTTTACTCATTTTTACAGATATTTTCATCAATTTCTATATATTTCAAGGTATTTCTAGATATTTACATTTGTGACTTTTCACTGGGCATCATAATGATGGTGTAATGGCAAAAAAATTTAGATAAGGTTTGGAACAACTCAGCTGGCAGGATTCAATCAAATTTCAGGAAAATTGTCACATAAGGAATTATGTTACATGTGACATGTTCATCATCAGACTGCAGCTTTGATTCACAATCAAAGCTGCGGTTCAAGGATGAAAATAGTGTGGAAGATAATTAGACATAATTTCAAAAAAATACTGTGGATAAGGGTTAAATATAAGGAAAATATGAGTTTGAAATGTTTCATAATAAATGCTTAGGATCAATGATAATGCAATTTAGAGTGGATCCTTGGATAATTTGATAAATATTATCTACAAAATATTCTCTTTATGTTGCCTGCCTTGAGCATGATCATTTTGTAAATATTTTCTATATAATATATGAGACAGTAGTACAATGATTTTACTAAAAATTCCAGACTCAAAGCTGTGAGGACAGGCAAATGATATTAGGGATTGTATTTTAAAATTTTGCTTCATATTTTCCTTAGATATAAATGGTATATTTTTACAAAAAAAATCACTGTAAGATCACACTGCAAATCTAGCTATTATAGGTCAATTCCCACAGTGTTTATCCATATGAGGTGTTTAATGGCCTTGCTCCATAGGAATTTTGGGAGGCGTAGAGCTATTAACATGGCCCTAGCATGTTTGATCAGAGTTCTGTTTAGTCGTTCTGATACACCATTTTGCTGTGGTGAATCGTGTATGGTGAGTTTGCAGACAGTTCCTTGTCCATTAAGGTGTTGATCAAACTTTTTACTAGTGTATTCTCCCCCTCGGTCTGAATGTAGAACTTTGATTATAGCGCCATCCTTCTGGGTTTTCAGCCATTTTTTGAATAAGATGTAATTGTGCAGGGTTTTGTCTTTGCTTGATAGGAATCGTACATATACTTCTCATGAGAAGTCATCTGTGAAGGTGAGCATGTATTTCTTCCCTGTTATATCTTGTACAGATGCAGGTCCCCACAGGTCTGAGTGGATACATTCTCCATATGAGGATGCACGAGTATCTGATACTGCAGGGAATGGCTTCACATTTGATATTGCTTTTACACTGGCATTGCATATTTCTTTCTCGGCAGTTTCGTCTAAGTCTATGCCTGTGACCATACCAGATTTTACTAACTTCCTTGCAGATGAATGGGAAATGTGGCCAAGGGCTCTATGTAGCTTGTTTATGTCCATTTTGGCATTCATGGCTGATCCACCGAAGTGTTCAAAAATGTTCTTTGGTGGTGCAGCGTTGTTAACTTGGTAGAGACCCTTCTTAGCTGGTATAGATGCTATGGTGTGACATTTAGGATGTGGTGATAGTAGGCGGCACATTCTTCTCTCAATGTGTACACAGTATCCAGCTTTGTCAACTTGGCTGGTTGATATGAGGGTATTTGACATTTGTGGTGTGTATATCACGTCTTTCAGTACTATAGCCGTATGCTTATTGCCGTTTGGCAGCCTGACTATTGTATCACCTCATCCTAGGGCTTCCAGTGGTGGTCCCCCTGCTATTTCAATGGTCTCCTGTTTGATGGGAGTGAATGAGAGAAATATGTCTTTGTAGGGACAGAAGTGTTTGCTAGTGCCAGAATCAATGATTGCTGGCCTATCAGTGGGACTATTATGGTGAGAGGTTCCATTGGATGTTATTAGCGCATGAAAGTCATCATAATCTGATGATTCTTCTACTTTCGCTGTTTTAGCTGTGATTTTTCCCTTTTCTCTCCAGTTATTATTCTTCTGGTTGGTCTTAGACCTGGTTTGTCTGTTGGATGAGTCGTCCTGACTCCCATAGTCTGTGGCAAAGTGTCCTTTTTTTCCGCATTTGTAGCACTTTGCATTGTTTTTGTAAGGTATCTTTTTGTTTTGCTGATTCCTTTTATCTTTGGACCTTGCAGCGAGGGCTAGGTTTGACTCCTGACTATTGGAACATGATTTCTGGTGGTCAGCCTCTTCTAGTACATGTGCTATGATATCCTTGGGTGTGAGACTCGTTTTAGACTGGCGTGAGCTGGCTATTATGGTGGAGAGCATGGGTCAAAAGCTTTCAGGCAATGATGACATGATCATTGCGCTGAATTGGGGGTCTCCTATGGATCCTCCCATTCCTGCAAGGTCAGACCTGAGCCTGAGCATTTTGTTGATATGCTCAGTGATGTCTGTTTCTTTGGATGCCTCCAATCTCATGATTTTTCTCCACATATCTAGTTAAATCATATCACCCTTTCCTTCATGTAGTTTGCAGAGTTCGTTCCACATAGTGTGGGGTTCAACAGTTTTGGCAGTGGACTTTAGTCTGTTGAGCATAGAGTTTGACACGGAGTTTATAATGATCTGATGTGACTTTGCTTTCTTTTGTCAAAACATATATTTCTTGTCCTCTAGTGCCTCAATTTCGTCCTCATTAGCCAGTGATCTAATTACTCTTGGTATATTGTCCATTGGAGTCCAAAACGAAGTCCTTTGGTGGTTTAGCAGTCCATTCGAGGAATCTGACTAGTCCTTTTGCTTCGATAATGGATTATAGTCTCAACTTGTATGATGACCAGTTTGTCCCTTTGTCATCCAGTTTGGGAACTTCAACTCTCGATGTTTCTTGTGTGGATGACATGTCGGGCTTTGCAGGGCTCATAACCTGATAAAGTTATGATATTCTATGGAAATGAGTTAAAAGACTCAGTCAATGAATAAAAGACTGAGTCTGTTGTAAGTACCTATAGAAATGAGTTAAGAGACTATTGTGAAGTCGGTATAGTTCTGTAGGTATTGTAATATATGGTTTCCTTACCTCAGTCAATGAATAAAAGACTGAGGTGTAACAATGAATGAAGAACGAGTTTGCGGGAATGTCCAATGTCTATATTAGGAAGGAGATTCACGCGCGCGTGAATTTGCGCCACTTGTAGTTGTTGGTGTCTACCTGTCGCTCACACTTATTGTGCGTGAGCTGCACAATCACTACACTTCATTGAGCATGATATGACTTAAGGAGAGCCAAGGCAGCTGCTTTCTTTCGAGAAGAGGATGTGGTCGTGATGGAGGCTCGGGGGGCAGGAAAACCACTATCTACTGACACTACGAGCAATTGCCAAAATAGCAAGTTGCAACAGTCTAACACCAGAGATGCAAATGGAAAACTTTCACCGGTGTGCTCCAAGATTGAACAAAGAATCAAAAGGTAAAAATATACATGTTTGGTCTTTATCTATTCTTCACTGCTAGTCTTTGTGGGATTGCATTTCCCTGTCGCACAAAGGGAAAGATAAGTGGCAGCTCTGGAACAGCCAAAATTATCTGCAACAGTCAAAGAATAGGCTTACTGTGATTATGATGTTACGGCCATATCCTGGAACGGGATGGTTTGGCTCATTCCATAAAGGAATAGTTATGCAATATTAGACCCATTGTTTACCTTTTCACTCCCAATTATGGTCTGGAGCATAGCCATAGTAGGCTTTCAGTCAGCGCTGTGCTTTTGGTATGTCGCACCGAGTGATTTCGGCGAATGCTCGTAGTGTGATAATCTACAATACCGAAACGCGCGTGACATGGTGTGACATAGCGTGAGAAATATTGTTTGCGCTGAGAGTCGTTCAAAACAAGCCCGTTTGCAAACGGCTCTCGTTTTGAAACGGTGGCTGCCGAACGGGCCCTAAGTTAGTAATGTTGTTTCGTCGCCTTGCCTCAACGTCGTCTTTACCATTGACTATTCGTCAACTGCTCCTTTCTGCGAACAAGTGCGAAAATACGTCTCCGGTTCAAGTGCATGGTTGGATTAAATCCGTTCGAAGGCAGAAAAACGTGGCCTTTGCGGTGGTCAGTGATGGGACTTTTGCACCGGGTTTACAGGCTGTCTTGAGCACATCAAAAATACCGAAAAAGTACGTATCAACAGCAAGGCCTCCTTTAATGATACATGAGCTTCTGAATTTTTGTAGCTTAACCAACGGAGCTAGCGTACGGCTGAATGGAACACTCGTGAAAAGCCGGGGGTCTGGTCAAGAGAGAGAGCTACAAGTTGATACAGTTGAAGTAATCGGAGAATGTGATCCAGAGGTGAGTACTTTTAATAATACACTAGATATAGGACAAAAGTCCTTCTAACAGACCTATCCAATTCAAAAACAAGCCTTATCTGTAGAGTATTTGCGCGACAATGTCCACCTACGTGCTCGGACAGACTCGGTTGGTTCCATGCTGCATCTAAGAGACTCGACCCAGCGGGTCCTTCATCGATTCTTTGAGGTATAAACCATGTTTATGCCAGTTAATGTGACCAAACTGAAACTTACTCGTTGATACAAGCGGCAGGGCTTTTGCTATGTTCACACCCCAATCTTAACTTCTAACGACTGCGAAGGAGCCGGGGAAACATTCCGTATATCCACCTCGATATCCGAAACACCTCCTGCAACAGAAGAGCCCCCAGAACAAGGATTCTTTTCCAAACCTTCTTACCTGACCGTTTCTTCGCAGCTACATTTGGAAGCTTTGTCATCCGCCCTGTCACGAGTATATACTCTATCGCCATGTTTTCGAGCGGAGCGGTCGCAAACAAGTAGGCACCTTGCCGAATTTTGGATGCTCGAAGCCGAGTGGGCATTTACGAGCAAAGTGGGCGATGTTTGCCAGGTAGTCGAAAACTCCCTAAAGGAGGTGCTGCAACAGCATAGTCCAGAAATTTCAATCTTGAGGGAAAGCGGAGATGAACAAAGGTTTCGGGCTATTGAAGATGCTGGCCATTCCAGCCGATCGTGGACGAAGATAACTTACTCGGACGCCATTTGCGAGCTAGCGAATCACAATAATTCCTTTCCGACGTTCCAGTTCCAGCCCAGATGGGGAAAGGCTTTGCAAAGTGAACACGAACGATGGCTTGCAGAGCACCTCATTAAGGGTCCTGTCTTTGTGACCGACTATCCTGAAACTCTGAAGCCATTCTACATGCGTTTGAACGACGACGAGAAGACTGTGGCCTGTTTTGATTTACTCATTCCTCATGTCGGGGAGCTTGCGGGAGGGTCCTTGCGCGAGGAAAGGTTGGGTATTTTAGATCAGTCTTTGGAAAAACATAGGTTGGATAAAAAGGAATATGGATGGTATGCCGACTTGAGGCGGTTTGGAGGTGCGCCCCATGGAGGCTTTGGAATGGGGTTCGAGCGCTTGATCAGTTGGGTCAGCGGTATCGAGAATGTCAGGGAGTGTATCGCAATGCCGCGATGGGCGAAAAGAATGATACTGTGACAGATACAATCTCATACGAGACCCTACATGAATTATTGTAGTCTCCAAATTTTGGGGAAGGACGTGGCACAATTCCCTGAGAGCTTCACAAAATGCCTAGATCTGGCGTCTTGTATTAGGACGAGCGTATGCATGTAAGACAACTGTGAGGTGGCAACATGTGGAAACAACAGAATTGGAATTAGGATGTGATAGAATGGGGAAAGAGGAATAGTCTACCGTACAGTGTAGCAAACCACTTCAGTCACCCCCAAAACATAAGCATTTAGCTTCAACTATCTGTATAAATGTATAAAGCTAAGAGCTTGTTTTTCCTGGTATCATCCCAGAAGTGGGATAATACCACCCTTCTGGGATTTTCCCATGGTATCAGACCATTTGTTATGGTGATAATCCCAGACGTTTGTCACATGTCACATGGTGTCAGGGGGGCTTTACTGAAAAGATAATTCTTGCATAAACGATAACCAAGGAAGATATACTTTGATGGTGATAAATGTAGCCAATATCAATACATCATCAATATTACTAATAGCCATAAAGCAGAATACAATACTACCTGTGGGGGGAGGCAACACCAGTCAGAAAAGTGTGAGCTTATGTAATCAGAATGTGTGCACCTAAGGTAGCAAATTCGCTATGCCATTGTACATTCTCTCCCGACGCTCGAATTCAAGCTCACATCTCATTGAGGGACTACAAAAGCAACCTGGTAAACTACAATTGATAATGGAGCTGATGTACTAGCTAGTTTGAATGAATTTAATCCTCCTTTCGACGCTCAAAACTCATCATGGTCGCTACCATCCCCTGACTGAGACTCTGAAGCTAAATCTGTCGCGCCGCTCTCTTCGACAACCTTGCACACAACGCAAGTACACAGGCGAGCCTTTCCAGAATTATAATGCTTGACGGCGGCCTCCAACGCCTTCACCTTCCCGGCCTTCAGTATGCCGATTTCACTGTTTGGTGGCACCTTTGGATCGAAATGTCGGTGCCATTGTAACTGCAGCGTGATTTGCGCGACAGTCATCTTTGGTATAGCTGCGACTTCAAGTCGAGGCACAATGGCAGCAACTTTGGCATCAACTGCGTCATTTTTTGCCTGCTTGCATCTGTTCTTTTTATGCTCCTTTGCGACTACCAGTTGATCATACCATGTGCCCGGGCCTGTTGCTTTGACCTTTTCAATAGCCTTCTCCAATGCTCTCTGGACTGCATGTGCCTTTTGCTTCGGAGCTCGTGCAACATGCATTACAAGTGCATGGTTCCGTTTTGACAACACTACATTGCGTTCTTGTGCATGCTGTAATACTGTCTTTGTTACGGTAAGTTCCTGCTGTGTTGCCGTATGGGTTGTAGCTTCTTCAATGTGCATAGATTTGACCTTCTGCAACTGCTGCCGAAGATCATCAACAGAACTTCGAGCTCGTTTCAATTTTCAGCGCTCGTTACAGTACTTCTTCTCGTAAGTAAACACCCGTATGGTCTGAAGTTGGAGATTGAGCTGATGGTTATTTTGGGAAATAGGGCTGGGCCTTGAGGCGGTGCTGGAAGTATTAAAGGTATTGTTTTCCTTGTTCAAGCGGTTGCGACTATGCAAGAGTGCAAGTTGATATTTCTGTCCTCTGGTTTGCTTTTTAGAGGGTTTCCATTGGTCCTGATAGTGAATGAGGGCCATGCACCACAGATGTAGTGCCTTGTTGACTCGTTGATGCAACGCAATGCAGGCCAATATGCTTACATAACAACTAATATACATGCTCAACAGCCTCCTCCATTCCCCTAGCTACAATGTAGCCGTTCGAGCGCGTCGACGTGTGCATTTGATGAGAATTGAATGAGTAAATGTAGTGTCCATGAGAAACCTTTGAAATTATATCATCCAACATCACTGGATGGCATGTTTTCATGCAAGACACGAGCTTTTTAGAAAATTGTTGTGGAGATTACACGCAGGTATTGAATTCCTACCAATGTCTCCATACAAAGTTGACACTATTTGCGCGTCCTACGTGGATATGCTTGGTGGTCATACATTTCAGTCACTTCCTCTACACGCTTTCTCACCAGCGGAGTTTTGAATTGGTGTAGCATTGCCTATCCCCACTACCTGCCTTTATCATTTATAACATGATAAAAATCTCAAATGGTGTTTGCTCTCAATTAAACCTCAATTTGTCCAGCTTCTAGTGTAATCTCATATACTATAGATTGATGGAGGATACTTTGACCAAAAATTGGTATAACTAATTGTGACATATAACCATGTACAAATTCACTTGATTAAATTCAGTTGATTAGGAGATAATTTAACCATATCTTTTTCCTTAACTGACTATGTAACTTTTTCATTCCTACTTATTATATAATTTACTGTATATCACAAAATATATTTATCCACCCTGAATTTCTATTAATATTACTTAAAATGGCTTATATTTAGAGGAATGCAAGATATTTGACAATATTAAGCATATAAATCTGCAGGATTACAATAGCTTTCATTTAAGCTCATCTTATTTTAAATGATATAACACTCTTGCAATCAGGCAGAGATATATCACAAGTACATGTAATGCACTGATCCAAAAGATATCATATCTTTTTGAATTGTGCAGCTTTATCTAAATATCTGAACTGAAATATGCACAAAGATACCATACAATTTACTCTGAATCACTGTCCCAATTCAACCTTAGGTTTGTCCAGGTCCTACCATAATATAATAGTTAATTTACAAGCAAAATGCTGCAACATGTCAAAAATGGAAACTGCTGGGAAAGGACAATGATATTTTAAGCTGCAGGGAATTTACCTATGATTATATGTTGCAAAAATAACCTTAGTGCATTTCAGGAGTATTTTTCCCTGTCATGCTTAGTCACCAGCAGCCTAAGTATGCTATTAGATAATTCTGTTCCTGTTGTGGGATCTACCTGTCCTATTCTGCCTCAGGGTGATCTTGTCCTGCAAGGAAAGTGTTGGTGTCGTAGATAAAGTCAAAATGTGTGTTTTTGAGATGTGAAAAGTGAAAATTATGTGGCAAAAGTGTGGGCTTTAAATTTTACCCCAAAGATTGTGAGAACATTTCACACAGAGTGTTCACTATTGTAAAGTCTCTGTATTTCAACATGTCCTCCAGACTCCTCCATAGCCACACTGTTTCAAGAGAGGAGGATAAGTGCTAGGGAAGTTCAGTAATAAAACTATGTGAAACTCAGCCGCTGCCCAAGAGGCTATAGAAACAACTTTATTATTCACCTATGTGAAACTACAATGGATGTTAGTTTAAGGTAATCTCTGATAAATGTAATGTAACGTACCTCAGCTGCTGCCGAAGAGGCTATAGAAACGACTGAGGTATTTCTATACTAAACCCCCTACTACTTATAGTCGGAGGTGCTACTCACTATAGTATAATGACTCCTAGGAGAACAATGGCTGCTTCAGCAGAAACCGGGTTTATCTGGCTTTGCCAATATGACACTGTCACATGGTATCAGGGGGATTGATGTTTAAATGTGAGAATACTAGCTCAACCAATGAAAACAATTTCAGTCATTTATACTTTGAGAATGTACAAGTTATGGGAAATATCATCAAACTCCAGATACAATTAATACAGGAAAGGATGTATTGGATATATATTATTCTTTTAAATAGATCTTTTATGTAGGTAGATTCTAGCTTTCTTTACAATATATATTCTGTCAAATGCAGCATGTCCATGGAACAAAAAATCAATGATCTGAATGAAGATCTTATATCTGTTACATAAAGTCTAACACATTTTCCAAGGGAAACAATGCATGGGACAAAAGAGGTCAAATTCAAAAAAAAATTTCTTGTCATGATCACCAAGAAATTTATTCTGAAGATTTTGCAAGCTCAACATCTCCCAGAGCAATCTGTGTATACTGCATGTTGCTGAGTGATGAGATTTATTTTCAATCTCATGAAAATTATCAATTATTTTCCTCTATCACACTGCAACTATAGCAGGTTTTAATTCCTATATCTACATCACATATAATGCTAATACCAGGTTGTATCATTTTTATTGGATCATTCATTTTTCTGATGCAATGCAATATGTGGCTGTCTTGTGTTTGTCATATGTTCACTGAGTTTGTTCAAGTCAATCCTGCTGCAGTCTATTTTAGGACCAAAGTTTGGATGCGAATTTCAGTCTGGTTTCAAGGAGTTTGGTCAGAGGTTCAGAGAATCCAGAAAACCAGACACAAATTATGTTCCTGGTTTGCACAGGGGAAGCTGGTTTCTGGACTGTTTTTAGTGGTTCTGAACAGTTCTGAACATACCTCCATCAATCACTTCTCTCAAATACAAATTCAAACAGATAAGTTTATTTGTCTCATCACCAATGTCTGACCAGTGTGTTGTTGGCCCTGATGGGCAGCTCCATGATGCATGACAGATTGTATTCTACAATAATATTGATGACATTGATTCACTTCCACCTCCACCATGTCAATCACTAAATATATTGTATTCATTTTGTGTTCAAAGTGCATGTCAAAACCGTGACCTTTGGAGTGATTGGAGTTCAGAATATGGAGATAGGGTGAACAGAGCGGAGTACAAGGTTGGAAGTTGACTTTGCTCGTGCACTAGGCCCTTCCGTGGACCTTGGTCCCTAACTCAAAGGAGTGAATGGGTGAGAGGAGAGAATGAAAGGTGGAGAGGAGTAAAAGTCCTTCAGAGAAAAGCGGGAAAACTTAGAAAAAGACTTTAATAAAGGTGGGAGGAACTAGTTAATATTTGAACTGCAGGAATGGAGTACAGGAGCTATGGCTTATATAGTATCGGAGGGTTTGGAGTTTGCAAAGAGTAACTTGTAGTGTAGATACAGAGTTCCATGCAGACAATTTTCTAGCGGAGGGAAATTGTATATGGGGGGAGTGTATCATAAGGTCTAAACTACACAGTCTATGAGGAGTATAAGAATGTGAGGAGAAAATGTATGGCAGACTAAAAGTCCAGTGCAGGAGAATCAGAGTAGAAATCCAGAGTACCATGTGGGGGTGAGATACAAGACTATGCCGAGCGGCCAAACACGAGGGGTGTAATTCCGAGAGTACCAAAGATTTGGGAGTTTAGACTTGGGAATCTTTGACTTTTTGGAGGTCCAGAAATCATAGCCTGTGGCATGGATATGACCGTGCAGAATATTGGAACCAGACCTGTGTGAATAGTTCCCATGAGTTTGGTCTAGCAGACTATTTACTTGAACTGAACCCTGGTCTGGTTATGTGTCCTTCTAATAGGTGCTAAAAGCTGGACAAAACTGGACCATAGCAGCACTAGTTCAAGTGAGTGATACACAAAAGGTCCCATGTCATTCTCAATCTCATGTGACATAGACAGTTGGCAGACTGTATAGACTTAAAGAATATTACCCAGCTTTGTGTTTTTTACAGAGGATAATCCTGCACCAATCTGCCCAATCAAAACACAGGGTGTGAATGGGATCATTCCAGTTCAGCCCAAACATACCTCCAAATAACATGGGGTCATTCCACCAACAAATCCCAGCAGGGGATAAGGTCACCCCAAGTTAGTACAGGACAGGGATATCTGAACAGCTGGACAGGAATATCCAAATTATACTGTTATGCTATTGGTGACTCAGCATTAAAATGCTCCTAAAGTATACTGAGGTTGTTTTTATAAGAGATAAATACAGCAGGTAAGTTCCCAGTGTGGCATAGAATACAATCATCTTTTTTCCTATAATATATCCAAGTGAAACTCAGCCTCTGCCCAAGAGGCTAAAGAAACAACTGAGGTATTCCTATACTAAACCCCCTACTACTTATAGTCCGAGGTGCTACTTGCTAAGGTGTAATGACTCCTAGAAGTGCAATTGTGCTTCTAGGATAACTATGGTGACTCCACGGAGTGGTGGCTATGCTCCATGGAGAACAATGGCTTCTTTAGCAGAGATAAACCCGGTTTTGACATCCTACATATTACATTGACAGTGTCTCTCCAAATATTCATTTATTGTAATACTATCCCATTTTGGCCTTTGGTTGACCATGACATTTTTGTGAGAATAAACTAAACCTATCTTTTGTGACAATCACAAGACATTCAAGCTGTTGGACCTAAAAGAGCCACAAAATGTTATATGTACTTACACATCAAGCATAACCAACTTTTGTCACACCCAAAATTGATACAAAAGGTTGAAAGTGGTTAAAATATTTGATTGCATTTTGGGCCTACAAGATTTTTTCAGAAAAACATACTTTTGTTAACATATTCCCACACAAAACATAGTAGCAATGTTTAAAATATGTTTCAAAATGTTTGTTACTTTTTTAGTGGGCTGTAAAATATAAATTCTGTTAA